AATGTAGCGACGGCACCCCGGATGTCTCAAGTTGGCAAATGTCCATTGAACCTTCTGGATATGTGCCGACACTTCGTTCCTGATGCGTCCACTGGATAAACTGTAACCACCCAGATGGCAGAATTTGTTCGCTACCTCCATTAGTTCAGTTATTTTGAGGCTGGGAGCTGGACTAACCCAGTCCTGTAGCAAAATTGTACGCTTAACCCCCCCCCACCGAACATGGTTACACTAGCACCAATACTAACCAGAAAAACGTGCAACAGACCTGGGTCTTCAATTAGCAGTGCAATTTCGTCAGCATACACCAGACCAAAAAATCTGCCATCTGGGAGAAATCGATGCCATTATCCTCGCAAGACGATAAGGCTGTTCCTATGAGCAAAGAAGTTCAAAACGGCATTGCCAAATACGAAAAAGGTTTGCCATGGGAACCTTTTATTACCTCACCTATGCGTACTTTCCTGCGACCCGTCCTCCTAATTAGACGAAAAAGATTACGACTGTTACCAAAGGACACAATCGTCTCCCATCTCTTTATATTTTGCTACCCATAACTTCTCGCGGTCGTTTCTCAGATTCTTGATGAGCTAGTAAGGTAGCCAATGTCAACAGTATCCATTGTTTGTGCTTTTATCGCATGTCGGAATCCGCCGTTGTTTTGATTAACATTCGAACAACTTCTTTGATAAATACCCAGTGTTCATTTAGTCCTTCGAGGGTTGGTTGAACATAAAGGAGATCGGAAAGTTTTGCTTTGTAGGCCGATTTGGAACTGTCGCACTGTGAGTATCCGTTCCGGCTGATTTGTTACGGACACTTTCCAGGCGCAGGGCGAACCTGGCTCGTGACAATGCAGTAGTTTTGACTTGATTCCCACCAGCTACCGCTGGTGGCGGTGTGGTCGATTTGAGTCTGTTGTGTGGTGGGGAGTTCCATGTGAGATGGTGTCACTTTTGGGGGGTACTTTGATATTTGATGGAACCAATCCGTGATCCGCGCAGAGGTGAAGGGGGCGATCTCCATTGTCCATTCCGCTGGCTTGGATTGCACGTGGACCCCCCCCCCCAAAAAAAAAAAA